TGGTTAAACGTTGTAAAGACGTCGAAGGTGGGTACACGTACAAAGTACGTACCTACTAACCCGTTTTGACCCGCCAAACGATCTAAAGAAACCAAAAGGTGCAAACGCGGATCCATAGCCAGATGCATCGTTCCTCGGGGTGGAGAACCATGTCCGACCCCCAAAGTAAACGATTCTCGCTGCACGAGGGTGCTGACCCTCGGTGGTTCGACCAGACCCCAAAGGTTGAATCCTCCCCGGTATGCAAATTGGTGCATGCCAATGCGGAGACTCCGCTACCCCCGGGGAAAACAAAATCAGGGGAGAATTAATAACGGCAAAGACGCAGGGATCGTTTTACATCGTTTCGATATCTGGATAACCGCGAGACGTCCTCAACATCTTTCTTTACGTCTTTCAAAAACTCGCCGATGAACTTTTCGGTCCCAAGTGTAGATTTAATGACTCGTGTATTACCGTGGTTAAGGTGAGGTGAAACACGTCGAGGAACTTGATCGACGTCGATAAAGAAGATGTAAAGAAGGTTCGTTTTTATATTCACAGCTGGGTCGAATTATATTGGGTATTGTACCAAATGGCATACTCCACCTGTGGTTTTCGTACAATAAATATCAAGAAATCGAAGTAAAACTCCAGAAATCCTCTGGATTCATGCTTTCTGGGGTCCTAATTGACTGCAGAGGGACCCCCTGCGCCATCTGTGATTTCCAGGTCAATTAAATTTTCACTCCGAGAACCTCGTATTCCCATCGTTTTAGCATAGAAGCGCACACAACACTTTTTTTGCCTTTATCCCGTTAAAATGCGAGTTTATCGATTACCAGAGTGTTCTAAATTGTCGTAAAATTGTCCTGACCCTTTCGTTTCTCATATCCGAGCCTTCGATAATTGTATACTTATCGAAACACGAGAGCTCGGCGGCAATTTGTTTCTGGTCTGGGCTAAGTTAAGAAATTTTTGTCGAAAAATCCAAATTTTGAAGGTGGGACAATTCTTAGATGATCACGAGTCATGTGTCAAAGTTTCGGACAGTTTGGTCTAATATCTTAAAAAAAAGTGTGGTATTCGAATCAGGTGCGTCAAGCTAGCACGATTTCTGAATACAGATGAATTATGTGCTAATTTGGTGTTGAATTAATTAATTTTGTACCCCCACCATTTTTCCGAAATTTGAAATTTCAGTGTGGCCGTGCTAGCTTGGCGTCAAGCTAGCACGTTCCCATCTCAAACAAGACAGAAAGTTAAAAACAAGTACACGAAATTCAAGGGCAAATTATGTGCTAATTTTGTGCTGCAATCGGTTTTTCTTTACACCGACCATTATATCCAAAAACTCGATTTTCGTTCCGAGCGTGCTAGCTCGGCGTCAAGCTAGCACGGCCACACTGAAATTTCAAATTTCGGAAAAATGGTGGGGGTACAAAATTAATTAATTCAGCACCAAATTAGCACATAATTAGCACATCATTTCTCTGTATTCAGAAATCGTGAATTGGGATGTTGCCGTGCTAGCTTGACGCACCTATTCGAATCGACTGATTTGAAGGGGGTTTCACTTCACCTTAACCCTCTATGGGCCCGTGTAACTTTCAGGTCACATTTTAAATGAAAAATTTTTTTTTCATTTGCATATGAGCCGCTCAATGCACACATTGATTAACTCCATAAAACAAAAAGTTGAGATATTATAAATATAAAAAGTTATGACTATACCAAGTGCTTTGACGTCTAAATTTAAGATTTTTCAAAAAGTGGAGTTAGTCGATGTGTGCACTGAGCGGCTCATATATAGGTTCCTAATTGCTGATTTTTCGTTCCCCCAATTGTTTTTTATTTAATGAAAAATTCGGCCCATAAAGGGTTAATTTCCTTTCTGCCTTAACTTTGACGAGGGGTTCACGGAGCCGACCGGGACTAGAGTTTATTCGCCATCACTTCCCTCCTAGATCCATGCGGCGTCGTCCCGCCAGGGGTAGCCGGCTCGGTCGCCGCGAGGGTTGCCGGCAGGCGCCGGGCGTCGCGGCGCCGCGGCGCAGCCTGCCGCACCCAGCACGGCGCCTGCCCGTTGGACGCGCTCCACCCCTTGCGCCCGCCAAGGTCCTGCCGAATTGGCAGTACGTTGCTAACTCACGCTGTTGCTAGGTGCTAGCGTCCCTTGGCCTCTCCCTCGTCCGCGTTCGGGCGAGACCCCTGGCGAGCGTCGACGTCCCTGGACGTCGTCTCCGTGGACGGTTCGTAAGATATACCGAGGCCGGCACGCCCTCGTGGAATACATCCCCCGAGGGCGGTGGGGGTCGTTGGACGCGCTTCGGGCTGAATTTTGCGGAACGGGACGGGGTTCGATTTAACCCTATAAACGCGAAGTAGCAGAACGCACGGATAGAAGTAGTCCTGAAGTATACCTTGTTAATCAGGGTATCGCTAGGAAACGTGGATTGCAGTTTCCAGTGTTCACCCTGGTCGCGTCATGGCTAATTTCGATGTTGCGGATATTTTGCGTACATTTTGGGTCGTTAGACGCGCTTCGGGCTGAATTTTGCGGAACGGGACGGGGTTCGATTTAACACGATAAACGCGAAGTAGCGGAACGCACGGATAGAAGTAGCCCCTAAGTATACCTTGTTAATCAGGGTATCGCTAGGAAACGTGGATTGCAGTTTTTAATGTCCGCCCTGGTCGCGTCATGGCTAATTTCGATGTTGCGGGTATTTTTGCAGATATTTTGGGTCGTTGGACGCGCTTCTGGCTGAATTTTGCATCATGGCTAATTTCGACGTTGCGGGCATTTTGCGTATATTTTGGGTCGTTGGACGCGCTTAGGGCTGAATTTTGCGGGACGGGACGGGGTTCGATTTAACCATATAAACGCGAAGTAGCGGAACGCACGGATAGAAGTAGTCCCGAAGTATACCTTGTTAATCACGGTATCGCTAGGAAACGTGGATTGCAGTTTCCAATGTCCGCCCTGGTCGCGTCATGGCTAATTTCGATGTTGCGGGTATTTTTGCGTATATTTTGGGTCGTTGGACGAGCTTCGGGCTGAATTTTGCATCATGGCTAATTTCGATGTTGCGGGTATTTTGCGTATATTTTGCGTATGTCGGGTTGGCAACTATATGATCGCGGATTTTGTCGATAGATGGTATTAAAAGATCCGCAACCACTTACAAGGAAGGTATCCCAGGTCGATCTCTCCGATTTCATTTCTTTTATAATATGTTATAGTAGACTAAAAACCAAGCGACATGTATTTTTTTTTATCTGCCATTAAACACTTTAAGGGGGTGAAACCACCATCCAAAGTAAGGCATGTCAAGGGGCGATTTGGCAGTTTCATCCACGAGAACGTAATATCTTTTAACCTATCCACCTGGAAAAGCTTTCTCATAACGATAAATGAGAAATATGATTTTCTCTATTAAAAAAAGAAAAAATTATGGGGTGAGCCACCCCTTAATATGATTACTTTGGGTGGTGGTTTCGCCCCCTTAAAGTGTTTCATGGCAGATAACAAAAATATACGTGTCGCATAGTTTTTAGTCTACTATGACATATTATAAAAGAAATCAAATCGGAGAGATCGACCTGGGATACCTTCTTTCTTAGTCGCCAACTCAATATTTTGCGTATACTTTGCGCATACTTTGCGTATTTTTTACGTCTATTTTGCGTTTATTAGTCAGTCGCGAGTGGGGGAGCATTTCACGCGATTATAATATACGTGGAATAAATTGAATTTGCAAACGCATTGAAAACGTTACGGTGTTCGCCTTTACGAAATCGGTCGTAATCGATGACTACGCTTTCGAAAAGGGTAAAAACGTAAAGTTAGTTCGAAAAGGGTAAAAACGTTACGTTAAAATACGCGCGAGTAATTCTTCTATAGGAACAATACAGAAAAAAAACTGCGAGGATAAACGTTTATTTTTTATAATCAGCGGTATAACGTCATTGCGTTTACGTGTATAAAACGTGCATTCCGCTATCTTGTCTTTATTGAAAAGTTGCTCGACGGTCCGTACAGGTTTACTTGTATTAAATTTCACGTTTCTTGGAGAAGCACGTAAAATTTGTACGATATAGGGCGACAATAAAATTCCCATGATTTTTATTGCACGTTTTTTTATCGGCAATGGGTCGCCCATTCGTTTTTTATTATAATTGTATCTTATTCTCCAGTAAATTTTGATCCGTGCAGGTTTACTTGTATTAAATTTCACGTTTCTTGGAGAAACACGTAAAATTTGTATGATATAGGGCGACAATAAAATTCCCATGATTCTTATTGCACGCATTTTTGTCGGCAATGGGCCGCCCATTCGTTGTTTATTATAATTTTATCATATTCTCCGGTAAATTTTGTATCCGTTGGTGTCAAAATCTATTGTAATGTCATAAAGTGTACGCGGTATAACTATCTAGGGATGATCGTGATTCGACTGTGAATTTGTACAAAAAGAGATCTCAAAATTACTCAAAATGCGACTAAGAACGGTTTACGACGCAATCAATTGTTGCAAAGAAGTGGAAGATACGCTATCGTGGAGTAGTTGAAAACTATATGAATAGTACGCCAGAATAGTAGAAAATTGTATGGCACGTCTTGTCGCCTGTTAAAAATCAAAAGACGGTCACTTGAAACATTGGTTGTAGTTTTTCAATTTTCAATTGCCTTTAAAATAACGAAACGATTCGCTTTCGTTTATTACTCGTAGAGTCATAGTCTCCCAGAAATATCGTGGGAATTTATTGTCCGCTCCTAAATACCTTTATTACTAACGCGGTAATCGTTTACCTAAAGGAAGCTTTTTCGCCCCAAGCCTCGTCAATTTCTATAAAATTCGAAAATTACTACGACAGTTTCGGAGTACCTTGTATATGAGAAAACGGAGTATGTGTGCGCGCGCGGGGGTGTAAAAGGTTACTTGAAAAAAAAAAATTTTCTTTTAGAAAAATTAAGGGTAAGAAGGCTAGTTACATTGTCTACTCGTATTTCGCAGCTGAGGACATTGGCAAATGAGGGTAGTGAACGAAATTATTCCGATCAAGAGAGTCCTGGAAGTGTGGGAAGTGTAAACGAGATCAAGGTTTGACGGATCTGGAGAATTCTTGAGTGAAGTTGTCGAAAAAGTGAAGTGCACATCAGGTGGTGGCGTTCAGGTGATTCCAAGTTGGCATTCCAAATGAAGGTGTGTTTAGGATGATGGTGGAGCGCGTCGAGGGCCACCTCTTCATGTACCGACGTCCTGTCTACCGGGTCTTTCAGTATCTCGAAACAACCGAGTAAGTAGAAAAAGCAGAAGAGCATGAAAACACCCACTAACGTTTTGCCGGAGCATGACTTTTTCATCATTTTTCATTGCACTTCGTGCCACATTAACGGCCATGGATCTAATATACAGCCCTCTAACCATTGATCGTCCTTCACCCTGGATTTTGCATAAAGACACCACAGGAATAGCTAGTGACTCTTAATTTTGTGTATTTTCGTCCCATGACTTTCAACCCAATTGATATCTCGAGTAATCTGGACGGGTCCAGGCATTATCAGTGACAGGAACCATTAAACCTCAAAGCTTCGTTTTGAGTGATCTTTTCGCAACGTTTCTTTTCATTGCACTTCGTGCCACGTTAACAGCCATGGATTTAATACAAGAACCTCTAACCATTGATGTCCACCCTGGATTTTGCAGAAAGTAAAGACACGACAGGAATAGCCAGTGATTCATAATTTTGCATATTTGCGTCCCATGATTTCCGACCCAATTGATATCTTTGTCGAGTAATCTGGACGGGTCCAGGCATTATCAACGATAGGAACCATTAAAGCTGAAAGCTTCGTCTTGAGTGATCTTTTTATTACACTTCGTGCCACGTTAACAGTCATGGATTTAGTATACAGACCTCTAACCATTGATCGTCCTTCACCCTGGATTTTGCAGAAAGTAAAGACACCACAGGAATAGCCAGTGATTCATAATTTTACGTATTTGCGTCCCATGATTTCCGACCCAATTGATATCTTTGTCGAGTAATCTAGACGGGTCCAGGCATTATCAACGATAGGAACCTCAAAGCTTCGTCTTGAGTGATCTTTTCACAACTATTCTTTTCATTGAACTTTGTGCCACATTAACAGCAATGGATCTAATGTCAGGATCTCTAACCACTGATTGTCCTTCACCCTGGATTTTGCAGAAAGTAAAGACACTACAGGAATAACCAGTGATTCATGATTTTGTGTATTTGCGTCCCATGATATTCGACCCAATCGACATCTTTGTCGAGTAATCTGGACGGGTCCAGGCATTATCAACGACAGGAACATTAAACCTCAAAGCTTCCTCTTGAGTGATCTTTCCACAACTTTTCTTTTCATTGCACTTCGTGCCACGTTAACAGCCATGGATCTAACGTACAGACCTGTAACCATTGATGTCCACCCTGAATTTTGCAGAAAGTAAAGACACGACAGGAATAGCCAGTGATTCATCATTTTGTATATTTGCGTCCAATGATTTTCGACCCAATTGATATCTTTGTCGAGTAATCTGGACGGGTCCAGGCATTATCAACGATAGGAACCATTAAAGCTGAAAGCTTCGTCTTGAGTGATCTTTTTATTACACTTCGTGCCACGTTAATAGTCACGGATCTAATATGCAAACCTCTAATCGTTGATGTCTTTCACCCTGGATTTTGCATAAAGTTAAGTTACCACAGGAATAGCCAGTGATTCATAATTTTACGTATTTACGTCCCATGATTTTCCACCCAATCGACACCTTTGTCGAGTAGTTTGGACGGGTCCAGGCATTATCAACGGCAGGAACCATTAAAGCTCAAAGCTTCAGCTTGACTGATCTTTTGCGCCTTTATTTTAACCACGTTGGGATCGTACGCTTTACCATCGAATATCCAATCCTCCGGAGAAGGACCTTTCATGCGTTCTTCCAAAAACTTCACGTTACTGTAGATACTGGTATACTGCCATTTCACTGACGGCTGAACATCGTCACAGGTGTAGGAAACTAGTGCTAGCTGAAAGCAATATTCATGGCTGAGATTCATATGGCATTGGGAAATTCGTCGACTTCAATTTTCGATGAAGCAGAAGTGGAGAGAATTCTTTAGGACAGGTTCCCGGTGCCACGGAAAGAATAGAGTAACGAGAAGTCAACGATTAACGTCAAAATATCAGGGACCCAATTCTCCTGTTCATACGATCTAAAAAAATCTGAAAAAATTAGACTCTACAAAACGGAACGTACTTTCATTATGCCAAATATGAGTCCACGAGAAGTTCTCTTATTCGTGAAAAAAAAAAATATTTCTCTAATTGAAGTGCCGAACTTTGAAAATTTGTCATGCGAATAAGATCCCCATGAACTCTACACTATTAAAAGAATTCATTAAATTCATACACTTCTAGTACATAAGGTTGTAATACGATTATAATTTTGATGTCTTGAAAGTGAATTAGTATATATTTTTTGCAAACTTCTAAATAAATTTACAATATTTATAACATTTATTACGTTATATTTTCATCAAATTGTGTATTTTCAAAAAAATTAGTATACCATGTCTGAATAAAACTTCCATAAAAAATGTTATAAAATTCAGACAATTTTTTGAACGGGGTAGAATCGGGTCCCAGATCGCTTACCAACGTTCCACCNTAATGAATCAAAAGATGGCAATAACTGGTCTCGCTCAATAACGGACACAAATGAGAAATTCATTGAATACTTATTTTTTAGTAATATTCAACGCGATCGGCCCTCTTTCTTTCGTTTAATTACTTCTGTGGGTTTTCATTAGGATACATGTACGAAGTTATTTTGTTTATAAATCATCATAGGCTGAGATTTAACTTACTTGCCAGTGCACCTTGCGTAATTATATCCGCTACTCTGTCGGCGTATTCTTGAGATGAATTGTGATGGCCAATATCGAGCATATCGTGGAGGTTCAAAGAGGTTTCTAACATAGGATCGATTGCCGACATGAAACGACGCATCAGCTCGCTAACTATCCACTTAGAATAATCTTTGACTGCCTTTACGTTGGTATATGAAACATTTTTCGCGTCTGGCTGCTTCGGAAGATTCGGGTCCTCTCGGACCACTTTTGGAGCCACATTCAATTCGGTGACGTTCCCGTGCAATGTCGTTACATCTCGACCAAACGTAATTTCCCGCGACGGCCTTCTTTTATTGGATACCGATTTCTCTAGTCTCGCTGTTTCCATTTTTGATCTATCAGTCGACGAAGAAACAAGCGGAGCTTCCGTAACATTAGTGATATTACTTATGATGTCCTTTTTTATCTTGTTGGCATCAGCCATCAAGAGATGCTTAGGCGTCATTAATCTCACTACGTGTGTATTCTGTGGACAAACGATGAAAAACACCAACAATCGAGTATTATAGCATTTCCCTCTTTTGGAAGAAGTTCTTTCCGAATTTTGTCAAATCCAGGCTCGGTTTAATAAATTAATAAACTCTCGCAAAATCATTGCTGACACGCACTTACGTGCCCGTCAAATTCAAGACGATGGATTTTTGACGATTAAACGTTTTTCATTTCTCATGAGATAACGTAAATGATATTCCTGTTATCTTCCTCGAAAACTTTTCCGCCGACATCGCTTATCACGTTACATATTTTAAACATGACGATTTGTTAACAATAGATAAATTATTAATAATTGCATGTGTTTATCTGACGAAGCTAGTCTTAAATTTTCGCGTATTGTCTTTTTTGCATCGGTATTGCTCTGGATGAAAAATATTGAAATTGAACTCTTTTGCATAGTAATCTAAGATTTTGCTTACCGCTGGATGTTGCTCTACCGTAAGAATCGCTTATCACATATTTTAAACTTAACGATTTATTAACAGATAAATAATTAATAATTGCAAATGTTTGTCTAACGAAGCTAGTCTTACATTTTCGCGTATTGTTTTTTTTGCATCGGTATTGCTCTGGATGAAAAATATTGAAATTGAACTCATTTGCATAGTAATCTAAGATTTTGTTTACCGCTGGATGTTGCTTCGTCAGACATACATATCTCTATCGTAAGAATCGCTTATCACATATTTTAAACTTAACAATTTGTTAACAATAGATATATGATTAATTGTATATGTATGTCTGACGAAGCAAGGCTTAAATTTTCGCATATTGTTTTTTTTTGCATCGGTATTGCCCTGGATGAAAAATATTGAAATTGAACTCATTTGCATAGTAAGCTAAGATTTTTCTTACCGCTGGATGTTGCACTACGGTAAGAATCGGGCACGTGTCTTTGCAGCACTTTCGATTGACGTCTGTTGCATCGGTTGACAATTTTGGAAACCCGATTTCACCCTCTGGAACCCTACAAGTTTAACCACATTTTACCAACTATTATGCCATAAAACGTAATTGCCACACACAAGATTAATTTAATAGTTTAAAGTAGTTTCTTGGAACTAACAGCTCTACTAAGCCTTCAATATTAGTGATGCCTGAAATGCTAAAAGAAAGGTATAGTGGATTTGTATCCTTTCTGAGAAAACTATTTCTTTCTTTTTTCTTTTTTAAGTTCTAGCACCTCCACCCAAACATTTTTTTGCAAATTGAAAATAAAAATAGCATCTCTAAACTATTATTATAAATAATGTGCGTGCATTATCAACCACGTCAATTATTCCGTAGTTTCCGTCGTCGTGGCGTGAATAATGGTACGTTGTCTTATCAGAAGCGGTGAAAAAGGATGTATGATTTATACTACTACCTTCTAACAAAAAAAAAACATCGATAAGTATCTAAAGGAACTAGGAGGTATTGTTCAGTACTGTGCAATGAACACTATAAAAACGTATTAGAAAATAACAAATCGGGCCCGGGAAAGGCCGGACTTAAAGGCTAGTAGTATATAAATGAATAACTTATTTTATAATGGCGAACTATTTTTATTATTATTTTTTTTTAACAATACTTACGGGCAGTCGAAATAAACAACGGCTACTCCGTGAGTAACGAAGTCGTTTTGCTCGGAATATTTCGGGTGTAGACTATAACGTGTCACTGTAACGACATAACTAAAAATTGGCCCAATACCGACAAGAACAGCCAATTGCCCCTGAATGTGATGCCTAGAAACAATAGGAAGTATTTTTTTCTCCAACATTCGATATATATATTTTTTTCCGTTTTTTGATAGATAAAAAAAAATACTATACATTTTTCACGGTTCCGAGACGAGGGAATTCGAATAAGGAACCTATTGTGAGTTGTAATTAAAAAAAAATGATATAAGCAATCTTCTTGCGATAGAAAAAAAAAAAAAAAAGGGAGCACGATCTATTCGAGCAACGTGATGGCAATTCTGATTAAATTATGACTTACTCATCGTACAAGGCCTTGTAGATACACGATGCACTGGTAATCGCCAAAGTAGAAGTTAAAATAGCTCCGCTGCATATAAAGTACCGCGATGTACTGTTAAATATAGTTCCGTTAATTATAATAAATAGATTAGTCGGCATTGAAAGATGATAGTCGTTTTTATCTACTTACGTCTTCCAGGTGGTCGGAGCACCGCACTTTTTAATGTTTTCATCGCGTATGAAGAAAGCGTGCATACTTAATAAATTTCTATATCCATTAAAACCTAATCTAAGCCATATATCTTCATTATTATCATTAGACACTTGACGTCTTTCTCTACCCTCGATTTCTTCTTCATTTTTACTCGGTATCAGAGATGAGCGTGAATCGATGTGTTGTATTTTCGAATAAATCGTTTTAGATTTACTATTTATTTGTTTAGCGAGGGAAGAAGATACATTAAAGGTGTCGCAAGTCTCATTACTTCCGTTCTCGGTACGACAGGGCGTTATCCATGAATCCTTCTCCATGTTCGTTACATTTCCCCAGACAGGAGTTTTTACTTTTATTCTCTTCGATTTTTCCATTTCCAAAACTGTTGATTTATCTTGAAATGTTTCCTTGCTCGTAGATTGTCTTCTTAATGCGTTTTTCATATCTAAGAGTCTCAAATGCTGAGCTTGTAACATCGAGTTGCGAGTTTCCTTTCTTTCCCAAGCATTGACTGATTTATTATACAAATGTGCCCAGTTTGGAAATTTGCGTAAATACCTTAACGTATTCATGTACTTATCGTCTGGTGATCTTCTTCTATTTAATTCAAGTAACTTCTTTCGTGTATAATTTTGATCCACATTAATAACACTTTCAGTTACCAATCTTTCGTTACTAGATAACTCGTAAAGGCTGTTATCAGGAAGATTTTCTGTCCTGGGTCCGTCCAACTCCTTAGTCTGCAAAGTCTTGTTATTCATTAATTTATTCAGTACTACCTTTAACAAATCTTTAATCAACACTGATTTAATCCCTTCGATTTGTAATAATCGCGTTTTCGATAACGTATTTATGTACTTATCGTCTGGCGATCTTCTTCTATTTAACTCAAGTAACTCTTTTTTTGTATAATTTTGATCCACATTAATAACACTTTTATTTACCAATCTTTCGTTACTAGATAACTCGTAAAGGCTGTTATCAGGAAGATTTTCCGTCCTGGGTCCGTCCAACTCCTCAGTCTGCAAAGTCTTGTTATTCATTAATTTATTCAGTACTACCTTTAACATATCTTTAATCAACACTGATTTAATCCCTTTAATTTGTAATAATCGCGTTTTCGATAACGAATTGCTAAAATTTCCAGGTTCCAAATCGTAACCTTTCTGTTTTTCCAAATGTCCGGATTTAATACTTGCTTCTTTTGTTTTATCCGATAGACTTTCCGTTTCCTTGTTTAAACGTAGGTTGAAAAATGGAGAAAGATTACCGCTTTCAAAGGTATCGCCCTTTAAATTGCTTTCCCTCGTCCTTAAATCCCGAGGCATCTGGAGTGCAAATTTCTTTACAGAATTCCAATCAATTTTATTGTCTTTATAGGACGTTCGTCGGTGTTTGGAATTCTCCTTTGACGAAGTATTTCCCACCGTTCTATTAACACACTTTTCAGTCTTCCTATCTTCTTTTACGATTATCCCTTCACTCGCCGAAGAATCTGCGTGAGTTTCATTTTTACATAATCTTTCCACATGTTCGATCGCTTTTAATCCGTCAGATGATCCGATCAAATTTCTTTCGATCTTTGCTTCTATAGATTTTGCTAAAAGTAGCGACAACGTAATCGTAGCCCACTTTGACATTTTCATTGATTTTCAAGAAAGTAATTAAATTTATTTACCGTCTAATAAAAGTAAAACCGCCAGCTATTAATTTGCCGAAATTCAAAAAGCGCTGCGTTTCGAATAATTCACTTTCTTTGTTTGCCAAGGTATCGTTCCTTCGAAAAAAGCGGCCACCATATTGGAATCATTTTTTACCGTCATTTAATCCAAGCAATTCTAGCCAACTCTTAGGTATTACTTCGAAACGTTTCGTTTCAACATCGGTTTATCTTGGTTTATCCGATTAGGTTTGTGTATCGTGAGAATAGTGGCCGTTTCTTCGATTTGACGATCAAGCAAAATGACATTACGCGTCGAATAGTTGAATTGTTGTGCAACAATAATTAGGCAACACATTACTGACCAATTAACCGAATGGCTATACATAGGTAAACGTGTGCAAGAACCTAAATTGACATTTAAATTTATTAATAAGAAATCAAATTCATTAATAAGAAATCGATCAAGCAAATCCCTATTCTTTTCCTCGATCAGCATCCGTTTTACCGAGTTCGCCATTATATACTTGATCGATTAACAATTCGGCGCTGTCGGAAAGCTCAGACACTTTAACCAATTTTTAAACCGTATTATCGCGTTCCGCTAACATACTTCATACGAGCAATTGATATAACCGTTTAGTTGTTAGAAGTTTTTCTTATCTCCATTATCGAGACTTCTCGATTTGACGTCTCTCACTTAAAGTCCCAATTCTTTTCCTCGATCAGCATCCGTTTTACCGAGTTCGCCATTATACACTTGATCGATTAACAATTCGGCGCTGTCGGAAAGCTTAGAGACTTTAACCAATTTGTTAATCGACTCGTCTTTATACATTTCCTTTCCGACATCTCTGAGCTCTTTCGAAACATTCGAGGAGGTGAACTTTTCCGATGGAAGATTGGACTCGGCGTTGGTGTTCTTCCTCTGAAATGGATCCTTCATCCAAAAATTCATTGCACCCTCGTTTCCCCGAACATTGTGCCCCTTCACGTCCTCCATCTTTAAATGAAATCCCAGTGTACCATTACCCGTTAACGACCCGTAATACCCATCCACGTTCCGTGAGTTCGACACTTCATTTTCATCCCGTCGACTCTTCTGTACGAGATGACCGAGTCTATTATTCCTGCGATAAGGCGGGCCAAAGTTTCTATTGTAGTACCCACTGAATCTCTGTGGGTCGTATCGCCGATAAGAGGGTGCCATTCGTACATCGTCTGATTTTTGGGAATCGAAAAAGTTCCTTCTTGCATTGGGAAGACCACGTTGCTGGGAGTGCTCGGGCTTTCCGTTTAAGCAGTTGCACCTCGAAGGAAGGGTTGTTGGTTGCCACAGAAGAAACGGTGGGCATGGTGGACACGGTGGGCCTGGCAGGCACTTCGTAGTTAGCGGACAGGGGCATTTACATGGATTGGCAGACGTTAACGGCAAACTTGTCGTTGGTTTAGGCGTCGTAAGAGGTGTTGAGCAATCTTCGATGCGCGTTGTCGTTAACTCTTGGGGAGTGGTGCACGTTGATGGGCACGGAGTTCTTATCGGGATGATGGTCTGACAAGGTAACGCGGTAGGTGCAACTGTTGTTATGGTGGAAACTGGTGGAATCGATCCACATGGGGTTGTCGGCAGCGAAGTGGTCATCCTTGATGTTGGAATGGTGTCGCAAGGTGGTTTCGCTGTGGGGAGTAATTTTGTCGTTGGTGGTTGCGAAATGGGCGGACATGGTTCAAGAGTTCGACAGGGGGGACATGGTTCAAAAGTTCGACAGGGGGGACATGGTTCAAGAGTTCGACAAGGGGGACATGGTTCAAGAGTTCGACAGGGGGGACATGGTTTAAGAGTTCCACAAGGGGGACATGGTGGATATGGCAGACACGGTTGACATGGATAACAAGGCAGACATAATGGACGCGGTGACGTTGCTACGGATGTTGCATCCGTAGGACAGGGGGTAGTTGGTGTTGTTGGGGAAGTGGTCGTTGTCGACGAAAGGACGGTCGTTTCGCTTGCAGTCGTCGATTCGGTTGAAGACGTGAGTGTTGCTAAGTACTCCGACACAAACGGTGGATTCGTTGAAGACGGCGAAGGCTCCGAGTTCGACTTGCTCATGGTGATCGATGAGTCGGTGGATGTTGATGGGTCAATTGTTGGAGAGCTCGTAGCAATAGACGTGATGGCATTTGGCTGCTCTGGATTGTAGAGGCTGCCCTGATTTTCGGTTCCTTTGTATCCGATGAAGAAATTGTAGATATTTATGCACTCGTGTCCGGGTGCAGGGCCTTGAATAGTTGGAGAATCGGGTTTCGAGGCAGGATCCGACTTTTCACCGGCATCGTTCAACTGCTTCATGGTTGATCTTATCCAGTCCAGATTGTCATAAAGTTCCGTATATCGCCACTCGGCGTTCGGTTGCCTATCGTCACATGATTCCGCCACAAGTCCTACCTAATTAAACGGACGAACATAAGTGTATCGTTTCTTGTAATCGTTGCTCGTAATAACTTAAAATTAAACAAAAATTAAGGGAAAAGTGAGAAGCACTGCGATAACTGCATCACATGATTCCGCCACAAGTCCTTTCTGATTAAACGGACGAACATACATATACCATTTCAATGTAAATAATTATTGGCCGTTTTAAGTCTAATCAATCGTGCAACGTGTTTCCGTCGAATAAACGGATAAACGAGAGATTTAAGTTTAATAAAATCTGAATCTAGTTTCGAATAAACTGCTTACAGATAAACTGTAACATCTAAATATTAAAATTGTACATATCCGATAATCCCATTGATGTACAGCGTGTAATGAATGAAGGTGAGATGTATCTCGATATTTTTGTTCGTAATAACTTAAAAGTAAAAAAAAAAAATTATGGAAAAAGTGAGAAGAACTGCAAAACAGTGTTTTCGATTAGATTTAAAGACATGGTTGCGTCTCGTACAAGTTTACGGACCTTAACCCTTTTTATACTTACTTGTACCTTTCCTGCCATAACCGGGGAACCCGTCTGTGGACATCCTCTAGTACCGTCACTATACCTTGTCACTAATGACTTTATGGGATCATCCTTTTTGCCGTAAGTGCTCCACATTTTAAGCAAATCTTCTAGAAATACCGTCGGCTCTGACGTCACTAAAACGCGATATAAATTCTACTAAATCATAACTTTATAGACGTTATTTTCTAATTATCTTGCATATTTGTTTATTTCGCGAGCCTTAATATTGATGACCAGTTCAATCTACATACTTTTAACTTTTATTATTATTTTTTTTTCTTCTAAATTTGACAAGGAATAAATATTTCATCCCACTCACCGTGGGTATTGTTCAATTGTGTGGATGTCTCATTGGAGGCCTCCTTTGCTTGTGGATCGTTAATGCTCTCTCCCTTAGATGTATTCTCCCCCTTTTCCTTCCGTGAAACTAACATCGGGGCCATCGTGACATTAGCAACATTAATCGCGCTCGAGGTGGACGCGTTTCCCTTTAGAATTCCGGATGATGTCTCCACTTCTAGAACGGCGGTTTTGTTATTTTCCTGGTCGATCGTCGATGTTGCATTTGTGCTAAATAGACTCGTCTCGTTGGACTGACGTTTTCGCCTATTATTCGGAATATGCTGCGCCTCTTGTTGGAACATAATTACGTGATTCTAGAAGGAATATGTTCATAAAATAAATGTTACATTAGGTGCCTCCTGAAATGGGCTGTTTTTTATTACGCTTGGAGGAACACAAGAGATGGCATAAATAAATAAATTAATAAATATATATATATATTTGGAACGTTTTGGGAATCAGCGCTTTTTTCCCATATCGCTTCGATGTCTCTTTAATCAATTTGTCTAGAATTCTTACCAGTCCGCTTCTTCTTAACAACGCCAATCGACACTTTCCAGAATTACACATCTCTGACATCCGTTGACGTGGAAGTTCAATTTTTATGCCGTTCTCCATTCTGAAAGGAAAATGTGGAAATCCCGATAGAATGCAGAATCGCAGATTCGCATAAGGTGAAGTGAAACACGTTGAGGAACTTCATCGACGTCGATAAAAAAGATTTTTGTAAATGCCTACATTGACGACGTTCGTTTTTATATTGACAGCTGTATCGAATTATATTGGATATTGTACCAAATGGCACACTCCACCTGTCGTTTTCGTATAATAAATATCAAGAAATCGAAGTAAAACTCCAGATATTCTCTGGATTCATGCTTTCTGGGGCCCTAATTGACTGCAGGGGGACTCCCTGCGCCATCTGTGATTTCCTGGTCAATTAAATTTTCACTCCGAGACCTCGTATTCCCATCGTTTTCGCATAGTAGCGAACACAACACTTTTTTTGCCTTTATCCCGTTCAAATGCGAGTTTATCGATTACCAGAGTGTTCTAAATTGTCGTAAAATTGCCCTGATCCTTTCGTTTCTCATATCGGAGCCTTCGATAATTGTATATTGATCGAAATATGAGAGCTCGACGCCATTTTGGTTCTGGTCTAGGCTAAGTTAAGAAATTTTTTCCAAAAATCCAAATTTTGTATGTGTCAGGACAGTTCTTAGATGATCAGGAGTGATGTGTCAAAGCTTCGGACAATTTGGTCTAATACCCTTAAAAAACAAAGTGTTGTATTCGAATCGACTGACTTGAAGGGGGTTTCACTTCACCATAAGAACTGAATACTAAAGTAACGTCGTCAGGGTGGGATTATTTGAAAGACATTGAAGTAAGACCTAAAGGAATCAGTTGTCCCTTGTAAAAACGGTTGCAATGGAAACTTTTCGAAATTCCACGAGGTAAAGTCTCGGTGTTAGTCGGTACCCACTTGCATTGAAGCTTCATAATTGCGACATTATGTCTCGCGTATTGCGGTGATTGCCTTTCTTTGGCCTCCATATTTTCATGCCGTGGATGTACTTTGTAACTATCCATCCGTATTATTTCGAGACGGTTTAACACATTAATAGCAACCGCCACTGGTGCCTGTATGTTTTCCCTGGAAATCATAGAAAATGTAATTTCTGGTGAATTTTCTAATGCACCCGCCACAATTAGAGTCACCTTATTCGTAATGTCTCGTGTAAACAGCTAGCAGATGTAAGTATTAGGTCTTCCGCAAGTATCGACCCGGCACACATCATGTGTATTCTGGACCTACGAAATATAATAATTACATAACAGCGAGCATAATTACACAACATCCGAGCTAACTCGAATTCATACCGTGACCGTCACTTACTGGTTACCGATGCGTAATACCCACTTATTACAACTTGTCACGTCATTTGACTATTTTTGTAAGTGCACTCCCTCGACCCCCTCGCTTACGTCAGAAGTGCACTTTAAAATGGCATTTCATACTTCTCATATCGAGGGGCCATTAACTCGCAAATCAGCGAAAACGATTTCCTTCTTTTAGAACCGATTACCTTCGATTTCATATGATAAACAACAATGCAATTTGGTTACAAGTGACAGTCCGCGTTATATGTATATAAAGCTGGAATTCCCACTTTAGCACGATTTAATAAAATTTGTTGCAAAATTGATTGCTAATTTATTGCTATTTTATTGCACGAGAAAAAATTATTTTGCTCTTATACTTTTCCGAAACATGGTGGCGATGTCAGCTTTGTATAAAGCTAGCACTGGCGCAATGAAAAACAATTATTAAGTAAATATTCATCGATGAATTATGTACCAGAATTTATTGCTAATTAATTGCTCGCAGAAGAACCAAATTTCAATATTTTTGCTCACCCCTAAAGGGGTGAATCGCCACCCCTAGTGCTGATCGCAGAACAGAAACATGAAAAACATGGGATAATCGAACTATTTCCTCACGTGGGAACTAATTGCTAATTAATTTCTCCGAGAAGAATCTAATTTCAAATTTGTTGCACAACCCCTAAGGTAGTAGGCCAACCCCTCCTATGTCGCCCCAGCATGGCCACGTAAGAAATGGAAGAATCGAACTATTTCTTCGCGTGGGAATTAATTGCTAGTTAATTGCTCCGAGAACACCCAATATCTTCGTAAAAATACAATTTTCAAATCCACATTAACCCTTTGCGGGCTACCGCCGCATATATGCGTCCGACGTTTGGTCCAATATTGCCTGTACGTTTTAATGAATTTCGCCCATATGTCAAAAGAGCTCCGTCCTCAAAGGGCTAATTAGTGAGCCTACATTACTTACGAGTCTTTTATGCCAGGTTGGCACGGTTGATCGGCATCTTCGTCCCTAACGACAACTGCTTGAACATTCAGAAGGTCCGGGTCGATGCGGTTCCCTTTGTTCATCCAATGAGGGAACACTTTGTCGTTTTTATCCTTCGACCGAGGATCCACTTCCGAGGAGTCCGCGACCACATCCAGCCAATCCACATTTGACGTATCGTTGTTCAACTGATTGCCAAAGCAGAATGCAGCTAATAACAAGCTGGCTGCAACTATCAGTTGATTGGGACGAGATCGCATCCTGAGGAAAGGTGTTTCCGTGTTACGCACATTGGGAGGCAGGGAACTTGGCCTCCATGGCCGTAGCTTATGTCCTCGGACGAAGAGGACGAATCGCCCTAAGTGGCCTAGTCGATTCGTCAAGTCAATCAGCGAATAGGGCTTTCGCGAATTAGTGCTCGTAATCTCGATTGGGATCGTTAGTAAACTCGGTTACGCGTAATGCACTCGAGTTGGGATTAGTTTGGATTAAGCCCGAACGGGCTTCCAAGCTTTCCTGTTGACGGAAACGCGCCTCCACCATACACATTTCCGACACGAAATGGACGAACCGAGAAACCAAGAAACTGACCGTTTTATCCGTCGCGCTTTTAACGGCAATAATCAAGGATTTATTACGGATGAAGGGAAGGATCGATGAAGGATGAAGGAAGATTTTCTAGGTATAAGAAACTCGTAGTGTCGAATGATGAACGAAACGCACTTTGCGCGGTTGAGCCTCAGTGAGACGCTACCGAGTTCTCAACACATTTGCGACCGGCAAATTTTTTCCGTTTCAAATACTGAGTACCGGCGAAAATAATGAAATTCTGAAACTGGTTGCCGCAAACTTGTATCGTGTATCGTCATGGACGTGATTCACGATAGCGGCAATCGGGAATAGAATTTAAAATGACGTGAATTCACGTCAGCGGCAATCAAGAATAGAATTTAAAATGACGTGAATTCACGTCAGCGGCAAAGAGGAATAGAACTTGAAAAGGATGTGTTAACGCTATTTTTTATTACAGCAAATTACGGAAATGAACACAAAGTTCCATTTAGACTTACCTTACCAAAGAATGAGGTATCTGGTTAAGTTTCAATTCATTTTAAAGAGTACCTCGTACAAACCAAGGGATATAAACGTCCTCCCTGTGGATGTACATATTAACCCTTTTAGGACTGGACAACGATATATCGTCGTTTATAAGTGCTAACTACTTCAGCTGGTATTATAAGGGTTAAGATGAGCTGAAAGTGGCGTTAAAGAGTTCTCGTTCATGAAACTATTCTCTAAACAGCGGATACCAAATCGATTCAAACCCTACAATATAAATACGTAGGGTATAAAGAAGGTCCTGACCCTCGTGAAATTTCAATTTTTAAATAAATTTCTTCATGGATATTTTTACAATTTTTCCTAAAAAAAAAAAATGAAATTTCATGAGGGTCAGAACCTTTCTTATAGCCTCACATTCACATAGTGCAATTTGAAACGATTCAGCACACCCAGTTCGGAGAAAAGTTTCATGAACGATTGACTCCTTAGATGCCACTTTCACATTCCCTTAATGATTCCTTGTTACGATGTCGTCCTGATCGATGAAGTACGGAATTCTTTTTGTATAAACCTTTGTAGACGCTCCTTTATGACTTGATTTGCATATGGTTCGTTCCAGCCATGAGGGAATGAGCTCTGTGGCAGGAGATGGAAGTGGCGTTCAAGCAGGCGGAGGTGGTAGGAGCACACCTCCGCATGGATCACCGACACCTATGGATAAGGCGACCTTGAAGGTCCATCTCCCAAATGGTGAGTGACAATTGCTAAACGTTATCTTTCTTCTAGGCCTCCTCTGCATATTAAGGTGATATGAAAGAGTGAGCCCATCTGAGAAGTCAAATCGTTGGGGAATGTATTCTCCGTATTGGGGGTACAGATTCGTTTGAAATTTAATCACGGGAATATAGAGGCCATTAAGTAGATCCTGAAACTCATGAAATTTCATTTTTCATAAAAAAATTCATTTATTTATCATGGACTAGAACCAACATGGCGAGGTCCGGACACGTTTTCGATGTTTTACGCTTCTTGGAGGCTTCATAATAAAAAATTAAGAGTTTCAGGACCTAGCTCGAACAATTTAGAACTCATGAAATTTCATTTTTCATAAAAAAAAATTCATTTATTTATCATGGATTAGAACCAACATGGCGAGGTCCCGGCACGTTTTCGATGTTTTACGTTTCTTGGAGGCTTAGAATCGAAAATTAAGAGCTTCAGGACCTAGCTCGAACAATTTAGAACTCATGAAATTTCATTTTTCATAAAAAAAAATTCATTTATTTATCATGGATTAGAACCAACATAGCGAGGTCCGGGCACGTTTTCGATGTTTTACGCTTCTTGGAGGCTTCATAATCGAAAATTAAGAGTCTCAGGACCTAGCTCGAACAATTTAGAATATCGTAGAAATGGAATATTACAGAGTCAGGTGGGAAAATATGGAAAATACTTTCATCGACGATTATACAAGTAAAAACACAGAAGCAGAATTTAAGTTTAATATGTGGTTCATTAACACTTGTATATTTTTGGTTGCACCTCAGGAGGATTTAACGTGGTAAAGTTTGGAGACGCCATTGACGTCAGAGGAATCATTTCTTTGGTGACCAGTCGACTCGCCGTTGGAACCAGACATTATCACAACCTTTACGCAATGAGACTTCATCATCCAGGTTCTGGGGAAAGCTACTGGCTGCATCAAGACACTACAATGTATCAGGTATCCGAGAAATAATTTTCTTTGCATTCCGCTTAGGGCCATTTATTAATATTTTTCCAACCGTTGCAACGTTTTCGCGATAACGAAGGAAGTAGAACTTATTAAGGTGATACAAAAGGGTCATTCAATGCATATAAAACATCAAAATATATATACAACTTTTCTCACAAATTGGGTGTGCCGAATAATTTTAAACCTCAGGGCCATTTATTAATATCTTTACATTCCGACCTTACAAACAATATCATGGAATTTATCGTGTTCTTATTCCACTTGCATGTTTCAGGTTCAAGAAAAATATGAAAGGAAGCATCCTCATAGTGAATGGAGATACGAACTGAGAGTACGTTACTTGCCACAAAACCTAAACGATCTGTATGAAAGGGATAGAGTTACATTTTACTACTATTACGACCAGGTAAAAATTCACTATTTATCGTATATAGTATTTTTTNATTCTTTTATCTTATATAGTTTTTATATGAAACGCGATCCTCGCGACAATTACGATGTACATCCAAAATCAAGTGCGCAAGTAAAAGATCTATAGATCTAAGTGTCTTTGTGAATGCGGAATTATAGGGATATAAAAAGGTCTCGTAGCTTCGCAACCCCGTGAAATCGGCGGAAAGGAGAATGGATTATCGACTTGACGAAACTATTAAACGTCATTAACGAGATGTAATAAACGTGAAAGAATTAAACCGCGATACTTGTTTCAGGTGCGCAATGATTATTTAAACGCAAACCACGCCGCGTTAGATCAAGACGTTGCGGTTCAGCTATGCTGCTTGGAGATTCGATATTTCTTCAAGGACATGCCGCAAATTGCTCTAGACAAGAAGAGTAATCTTGAATACTTAGAAAGGGAGGTAAGCTCGTGAATATTATCTTTTCTCATTATTGCCAGTTGTTATCGCGGATGAGAATATACTGTAATTATAGCAATTAATCTCCTAGTACATAAAAGCCGCTAACGATATTAGAAGAATTGTCACTCTTATTCAACTCTTTTTATCTGTACGATGCATAGGTTGGATTGCACAAGTTTTTACCACGTTCCGTGCTTAATGGCATGAAGCCGAAAGCATTGCGGAAGCTCATACAACAGCACTTCAAAAAGGTTGCCGCATTGACGGAATTGGAGTGTATGTTTAAGTTCTTCGATCTCCTCCGTTCCCACTACAGATTCGACCAGGAAAGGTTTATTTGTGCGTTAGGGGTAAGTGATCGTTGCTTTTGTCTTTACCGTCGTTACCGTTAAATAAGGGACTCTTTACAATGGTTTCACTTTCGCCAACCCCATTGCAATACCTACTCTTTGTTATAAAGTACGATGATAACTCCAGACCCACCTTTTTTTTTTTATTAAATATTTAGGGCGAGTTTTATTAAAGATCCAGAATCGACGCGACAAGATTAGTACAAAGCATGGTTAAATAAGTGACCCTTTCCAATGGTTTCACTTTAGCCGACCTCGTGCAATTCTTACTCTTTGTTATAAAAAATAGTAAGAATTTTTTGTTATAACAAAAAGTACGACGACAATGCCAGACTCACCTTTTTTTTTATTAAATATTTAGGGCGAGTTTTATTAAAGATCCAAAATAGGCGCGACAAGATTAATACAAAGCACTTCTACTTAGCCACTAATCCAGGCAATTGCTCGAATGGGGATGATAAAGTAATGGGTAATCACGAATTCATGAAGATAGTGCCACTGACCATGATGACTTTGATGAGCGATACATCAAAGAGCTTTGCAGGAACTCATTGTAAATTTAAACGAATTTGGACCTTTCATAACGCTGGCTGGTCGTTTATTGCTCGTTAAATTGATTATCCATTAAATCGTACAACTTGAGGTTGAATTGGATAAGGAATACTTTCTATTCCATCACTTCCCATTAATCAGGTAAACTCCGAAAGTGATCTAATCCTATAATTTGGCCTACTTTTTCAGTCAAGCTGGTCTATTCCTGTAGAACTAGTCATCGGTCCAGATCTCGGTATCTCCTACATGGCTCACCGAGGTGGGACAGTGGCAAGTATTAATATATGTAACGTTATCTTCCACACATCTCGCTTCCATGTACATATAATTCCTCACGCATCATTTAAATAGTTATTTACGCCTGTGACAGCGTTATTCTTCGTACGTTTATTGAGGATCTCCTTATTTTATTATAGCCAACGAGGATGGCCGAGTTTTCTCAAATCCAATCGATTCAAACTCTTGTATCGGATTGCAAGGAACATGCCAAGGCTTGCATTAAACTGAGAGTTGCTGGGGCAGCCGAGACTCTCAGCATCACATGTTCCAGCCTTGATCAGGCAGAAAGCCTTGCGGACCTTATCGATGGTTACTGCAGAGTGGTCACTGATAGCAACACCTCGCTTTGGAATAGAAAAGGTATACCATTTTTATGAAAACTTACTTCTGGGGAAATAATTTCATCCTTACAAACTAATCGCCTCTCAAATAGTGCGTTAAGGAACATGTAAACATGTATACGTCTACCACAAGGTAAAGGATGTCTATTATCGAGATAGACATTTACTTGTTTATTGACACTAATCACCCGAAATGTGAAGAAAAAAGTTGTAATTTTATGTGGGTGTCATGACGACATCTGTCGTCATGTATCGGTAATATAAAGTTTTGGTATCGCCCAAGCACATATTTTTATTATATTAAAAACAAATGTTTTAACTTTCAAGCTGCGTCATGGAAGAATTATCCATGCCCTTGCAAAGGTTTGTATTTAAGTTAAGTAAGGCGTTAAAAAACTTTAGATATATGTATATTAACACTAGAACTACCAAGTCCAATCAAAATGACTGATTTCAAATGGCCTATCCTACAGAAATAAAATCCACCGGTAGTGTAGTGTTAAAGAGAGTGTGTATAGTGTTAAATGAGAGTGTAGTGTAGAAATTCTGTCTCGATGTGCCGAATTTTATGGGAACGGAATAGTCCGGATACTTGTTACGCATATTATGTATGCCGAACACGTGCTAAAATAAGTATAAAGATTAATGTTGATGTACATTTCTTTCACTTAGATGCTCATCCACCGAAGTACAGGCAGGATGGTACTGGCAGTCCGGAGAAAAACGCTGGCAAAACAGGAACCATTTTATCGGAAGATTATGCAGAAATTGTCGACGAAGAAGGGGATTACTCGACTCCAGCCAGTAATTACCCTTTTTCAGAGCGCTTATAAGTACTCGTTATTACGTCTTTTACGTTATTAATATATTATTTACGTAGCCATCCGCTGTCTGCACGAATTACGGCACTTGAGTGATTGTTCTAATCATTTTAAAGATTAAGCAATGTTAACTCTGGACAAATATCATTTTCCCAAAATATTTGCCCCTGTCAGTCAAATGCCGTTGTATGGCTGTTGCCACATTTTACCAATAGTTGACGGTAAACATTATTGTTTGCAGCTCGAGATTACGAGATAGTTCGCAATCAAGTGGAATTGGGCGAGATTATAGGAGAAGGTCAATTTGGAAATGTTCACAAAGGGTCGTACAAAGGTCGCGATGGTCAGACAATCGCTGTAGCTGTTAAAACTTGCAAGATCGACGCAGATTTAGCAACTGCTGAAAAGTTTCTAGAAGAAGCTTGTAAGTGCCATCCCAGTGCTAGTAGAACGGTTAAAAATAATCGGGAATGACCTTGTTCATTGTGTTTCAGATATTATGCAGCAATTCGAGCATCCTCATATAATTAGGCTAATCGGCGTTTGTTCAGAGGCACCGATATGGTTGGTCATGGAATTAGCTAAGCTGGGAGAAATGCGCGCTTATTTGCAGTCGAATAAGCATCGATTAGACCTCGCAACATTACTTCTTTATACATTTCAACTGAGCACAGCGTTATCGTATCTAGAGAGCAAGAAATTTGTACATAGGTATGCGTATTCTACATCGTACATCGTCTCAAATTCATATTACCGTGGCGCTTTCATTTACGTAATTGTTAAACATCCCTCAAACAGAGATATTGCTGCAAGAAACGTGTTAGTGTCAGCTCACAATTGCGTGAAACTAGCTGACTTTGGACTTAGTAGGTGGGTGGAGGATCAAAGTTACTACACCGCAAGTAAATGCAAACTACCTATCAAATGGATGGCTCCAGAAAGCATAAACTTTCGCAGATTTACAACGTCATCCGACGTCTGGATGTTTGGTACGTGTCTAAGTAATACTCATGTAAAGTACTTCCTTAATGATCACTTTGTAAATGACACTGTTCTATTTCTAGGTGTATGCATGTGGGAGATCTTAATGCTGGGCGTAAAGCCATTTCAGGGTGTAAAAAACAATGAAGTTATCCGAAAACTCGAAAATGGCGAACGTCTTGCCCTGCCTAATCACTGTCCCCCAAGACTTTATTCTCTTATGTCTCAGTGTTGGAGTTACGAACCCAGCAAACGACCCACTTTCAAGGACATAAGGGAAAATTTACAGTGAGTTTATCATTACGCATCTGTTCAATACCCTAACGATTAACTATCAGATCCACTGTAGAGATAATCTGCCTTCAATGGTCCTTCAATTACATTTGGATACTCGTGAATAGTTAAAGTTTATTGCTTGTCGATCGCACAGATGTCACATATTAAGGGTGCAAGCATAGTGGTTTAATTACTAAATGACACACGTTTATTAGACGTATCCTTATAAGTCGAAAGATTATATTTTAGAAACGTTTTCAAAGAAACCATGAAAAGACACTAACAGTTTTGAGATCTATGTTTATCAAGAAGTAAATTCAAGGTCATACACGATAAAGGGCTTTCAACAAGACACAGCTAAAAAATATCTATTACTTGCAGTTGCATGAGAAAAAAAAAGAAACTCTTCGAAAAAGGTTATATACATATTGTGTTAAATACTTTAGATATATGCTGAATTTTATGTGGGTTGCGGGGGAGCTTTGCACGTGGAACTCACAATTCGTCCTATTTCGCCATCTTAGTTTAGTTTTCTTTAGAGGGTTAGTAGATTGTAAAATGCGTATTAAATCAAAGTCAGTTTAAAAGAGAATGAAAGAATATAGGAAATACTTGCTTACGGGGCGGTTTTATTTCATGTTTTAAGGAAAATTTAAGATGAAACAAGTATCAAAATGTTTCAAAATGGCGGACTTGTGGAGGCTGGAGATTTCCGATTTGTGCGAGAAGTGAGCACTCTCGCCAAAGATATAAAATCCACTCCCTGCTTCTAAGCTCGCCTGTCTTTCTGTCTTTCGCAAAGAACAAAAAAAAAACAAAGAAAAAAAAAAAAAGAAAACCCGCGATCGTAGTCTCATTGATATGCAGTTTATGATACTCGTTTTATATTTCTCGTTCTTAATCGAAATTACAGTGAGATCCTATTGGAGGAGAAGCACCAACAACAGGAAACTATGAAGCGGGAAAATAGGAGGGTGCAAGCTATGTCTTGGGGTGCGTAAAACACACTTAAATGCCATATTAAAATGCGTTTCAATGCGTATGGATGTGCATTATCTTGATCTACTTCGCGTGCACGTTTAACTCTCGTGAAAGAAATCTCTGGAAATAAGCCAAGCTACTTTACAAGAATTTGTACATCAATGCCGTGTCCTGAAAAACGTCCTCCACTCTTCAGCCTTTTGACCCGAACACTACGCTTGCCTACGCTATTCCCTGCTGCCAAATGGTACTTCTACCTTTCGGTCGCTTCTGGTTTAATGGCTACCTGTACCTGTTAACGTCTGTTGGAGTAAAGGTTTTCTCCCAGCTTTTGATAACGTGCCCATCCGTAAGATCTCGCGTGAGCGTGTGATGGGACACTTGGTACCTCCAAAAACAATGAAAACGCAACGAGCATAAAGAATCGCTTACTTTTCTATCGTTATAAGAACTTAATAAGAGAAGGTTGCAAGTGCTCCGACCGTCCTCGAAGACGACGAAAGCCGTTTTACATGAATCATGACGGGTTTATTTCTGTTTCGTAGGAGCTGACGAAGTTCCACCTCCGAAGCCCTCCCGTCAACCGCAAAATTCGACTGACCAGGCACTGTTGACAGCAGCTGCCCCGGTTTCGACATATATCGTCGCCCAGAGTCCTGAGGTCCTAGCTCAATTATTGAAGGACAACCAAGCTAGGGGGGTATGTCCCTCTGTATATACAACACCCGCGTCCCCCTTCAATACTTTAGCGGTACAGTTTCAAGACGAAGATCAAGTCCTGACGACTGCCGTTGTTTCCGACCTACCCTTCTTCGATCCAATCATCTCCGAACCTACGTCGATCTCCCTCGACAGTCAGTCCGTCGGCGACTCGACCCTCTCGGAAGGGAACTTTAACTCCCTCGACAGTACCGACATGATCTTACCTCTCGTCAGCAATCTCAGCCTGTCGGACTCGGTAGAGGCGCAGTCGCCAGCCTGCGTCAGGAAGCAACAGAAGGTTAAAGAGATGCAAAATTTGTACCCAGTCGGTGCCAAGGTGGTCGGTAGCATCACCGGTGACCTTTACTCACCAGTGCAGAAGTTCTCGTCGACGTCCAATGCAATTCCCATTCCCACATCCTGCTGCGAAATCTATGGCCCGGTAGCTAACTTCACCCAGAGCTCGGCTATCGTTGGCAACTTCAGTCAAAGTCCTTGCATAGGGGGTAACTTTGCCGAGAATCCCGGTAACGTCGGTTCTGGTAGCTTAAACCACGCAGCGGTATCGCATGCACCCAATCATCCCCGCAGCTTTACTCACGTCTCCGGAGGAACGTCCGGTCAGGCATATAACAGCGGGAGTATCATCGCTCAACCCCCTGATAACCCTAATGATAACAATTCCGACGACTGTCCCGGTGATGGTGGAGGCAGTGGTGGTGGTGGTGTTAGTGGTGGTGGTGGTGGCGGTGGTAACAGCGACGAAGGGGACAATTATACTAACGTTACATCGTCAGGCTCGGAATGTTTGTACGGCCCGGTCTTAAAGTTCCACCCTCAGGCGGGCCAAAGTCAGAACTGCGAGATTAAGCCAGGTACGCCTCCACACGTATCTCGGAACAATTTGGCTTCCAGTCCCATTCCGACGCAGAGCTTCCAGTCGCAGGCTGGACATGTTCAGAATGTGCCACAACATCAGCAGATTTACTCGAACGTTGCTCAAATGGGACACCACGTGATGTACGTAGCGCGTGGCCAGCACGTCCAAAACCTGCAAAGACAGAATTCACTTCAGCGGCAATGTCTCTCCAACGCTTCTTCCCATTACAACCAGCAACAGAATCCCGATGGTGGGATTCAGAATTACCCTCTCTACGCCACCAGTGCCAACCTGGCCCAACAACAGCATCCGTACCAGCAGAGTTTCGTCCAACAAATGCAGAGCAATTCGTCGAGTTCGCCGCCGACTTCCCAGCAGATGCCGACGCAGACGAGCCAGTACATGGCCATTACCTCCAGCCAGCAAATCATGCCAACGGCGGTGCAAGCTCACATGGTGCACTCCCATTTCCCCCTTACTGGTCAGAATCATCAAACCGGTCAGCAATATGGAATGACGGCCGCTATGTTCTTACCGCAACAAGTCTCGTCTCATCAGCCCGTTGGAGTTCCGCCGATCGATCCCGTCCAGTCTCATTTCAATGCCTTCGAAGGATCGGCGCATCAGCAACAGTTCGCTTCCGCCCAACAATCCGTACAACAAGCTCAGGTTGTGGTATCGAAGCCCAGCCAAGCACAGGTAGCTACAGGCGTCGCAAAGATCACCTCTTTCTTGGCTCAAAAGCAAGATGACACCATAATGTCAATGACGAGCTCTAACGATGGCACTCTATCCGGCTCATTGGTTTCCTCGGCCGTCAGCGACAGTACCGTGTCATCCAGTGGGTCATTAACGGAAGATCCTCAGCAAGATCAGGTTTGCCATTTGACCCCTAGAAATGACCAGCCTGCACATTACAGCCCTCCAAGACCATTGTGCCGGTTTTGTACCTTTCTTTTACCTCGCTTTACCGCCCTGACGATGTACCGAGTGTCTTCACATTTCTTTCATCTAAGTCTGTCGCTAACTTTTGCACATTTACAAACGTTGAGGAGTCTTCTAAGTCCTGGACATTGCGCTAGAGGTGTTTAAACTGTAACACTTCTGGTACGCAATTATTGGTCTGCCTCTCCATCTTTCGTTTGGTCGTTTTACTTATTAATTATTTATTAATTTCACACACTGCACGAAGAATGGAAGAATGGTCTTGCTCAACATTGCATGCTTTTTCAGTTTAACTACTTTCAGCACTCGCACGAGAAGTACAGGAATCAATATCGATTTCATATGCAACGCTGCTTGCGGATCATTTTGATCGGTTATTAATAATAGGCCGGCGAACGGATGTTATTAATGATTAACAGTGTTTTCCGTTGAGTAATTCCTAGTAGCACACGTTAATTTTGATTGATTATGTTACTTTTCTATTTTTTGCATCTCTTTAATTACTGCATACCTAAGATATAAGGCGTGATTATTAGATTAATTAAACATAGTTTTAAATAAGTCCTCTCACGGAATTTATGGCACTAGTGTAAGAATCGGATGGAGGAAAAGGTGCTTCCGATTGTGATCTCCTTGGTGATTATTTATTCCTCGGAGAATTTTATTTTGCCATTGTAACTTCCTTGTCAACGTTTAAAAACCTGTCAACGCCTTGACATTTCAGGAATTTATGAATCTATGAATTGTTCTTGCTCGTTGTGTTATTCCGTGTGGGGATTGGTCTGGAAGGAAATACAAATGTTAAATTAACAAGAATCCTGACTTTTTTTAGAGGAACGCTCAATCTCTGTTATTCGAAAGTACGGAGACCTTCTATCAGGGTGCAGACGATGAACAGAAATTATTAGAGCGAAGGCTTTTGGAACAACAGCGACAATCGGAAGAGGATAGTAGGTGGCTTGCCAGAGAAGAAGTACGTCGACATTTGCATATCTCGTATAGAAATTTCTTGTAGAAAATTTTAAGGTAAAGTGAAACACGTCGACAAATTTGACCGCAATTTGTAAAAACGGTTCTTAATACCTATGTTACCGACATACGTATTTGTATCGACAGTTTGTTAGAATTATATTGGGTATTGTACTAAATGGCATACTCCACGTGTCGTTTCCGTACAATAATTATAAAGAAATCCAAGTAAAACTCTAGAAATCCCCTGGATTCATGGTTTTTGATGCCATAATTGAGTGTAGAGCGCCACCCCGCGCCATCTGTGATTTTAATGCCAACTAAATTTTCTCTCCGGGATCTCGCGTTATCTTCGTTTCAGGATAGAAGCGTATAAGGCACTTTTTTTGCCATTATCAAGTGCGAATGCGAGTTTCTCGGTAACTAAAGTGTTCTAAATCGTTGTACAATTGTCCTGACCCTTTCGTTTTCCATATCAGGGCCTTCAATAATTCTATATCGATCGAAATATGAGAGCCCGACGCTATTTTGATTCTGGTCTAGGCCAAGTCAAAGAATGTATTTTTGAAAATCCAAATTCTGAAAGTGTCGGGACAATTCTTAGGTGATCATTTGTAAAAGTTTCAATACCCTTGAAAGAAAGTGTCTTATTCGAATCGACTGATTTGGGGGGTTTCACTTCACCTTAAACATTAAATTCGTTCTATACGAAAGAAAGAGGAAATCCGATCGTGGCCGTAATGACTGTTTTAATCGATTTTAGAAACGCCTGTCCATTGCGACAAGTGGCGATGAGAGTGCCAGTCCACCTGTTCCTAGGTCGGTAACCCAGTCACCTAGTCACGAGGGACCCCCCGCGAATTCCGGCTCCCTGGGATCCGACAAGGGCTCCGACAAAGTCATCATTCTAAAGGTATATTGGCAAATACGTCCCTTCCAAATCATTTACTAAATTCGTTTAACGGCTCAAAATGTTATTTCCTGAATCGTGGAGTCGAAGGTACCATTGTAATCAGCGTTTTTTTTTTTAATAGAAGATGGAACCTACTCCTACGGCGGATCTGGACAGGACGAACGATAAAGTGTACGATTGCACCACGAGCGTCGTTCGAGCTGTCATGACTTTGTCTCAAGGTACGTAATAATGTAGAATACTTTCCGATTGTTTATATTAAAGAATATATATGTGTACAAAGGGCCCTAATAATCCAGTGACATACTTATGTCATACTCTCCCGGAGTTAGAAAGAAATTAATTACACCAAACTTCCATTGAACCCCAAACTTAACAGTTACGTAACTTAACACTAACAATTAACTGTTATGCTACATAACATGTTAGTTTACATAACATTTACCTAACAGTTATATAACAGTGTTCACTGGGCTGGTACATGCACAAAAGCACTTCGTTTACTTTCCAGGATTTTCAAGTTCCTTTGGAAGTTCCGTCTTTTTATCGTAACAAAAGCTTGAAAAGCATTCGCAGTTGCGTGGAAGATAATCGCTCTAATTGTTTCAATTGAAAGGATACATCTCGTCGAGTCAAGTTTTTCCCTCTTTTTCAAATGATATATCTTGCCGTAGTTTCGAAGCAAAGATACTGGTGATTTATATTTAATCAGCGGCGGCATTGTTCAACGGAAAGTGTGTTAGACGCGTTCGTGTCGCACCGGAAAAAATTGATACAGATTTATTATAATTGTTCGTTACTCCGGGACAGGTGTTCAACAAAGCAAAGCGGATCAGTATCTGGACTTAGTACGGAAAGTAGGAGTCGAGTTACGAGATCTACTTTCCTCCGTGGATGCCCTCGTCCAAATTCTGCCAGTTTGTGCACATCGTGAAGTAGAGATGGCGCACAAAGTCCTCAGCAAAGACATGGCAGAACTTGTTTCCGCAATGAAGCTAGCACAGAACTACAGTGCGACTACATTAGACGCTGAATACAGAAAGTAAGTTAAACCATAAGAAATCAAATGTTACTTGGCGCAAAGAATTCAGAAGTCTCCATAGAAGTCCAGAAAGATACGGACGTTCGATGCTCGATAAATAGTATGTTAGCCAACAGATGGCGGCGCTGTAGTCATCTCTCCATCACTCTTAATCTTACGGCGATATATAGCAAAGTGCATTCTTTCTTTATCTTACACCCAATACTCGCCTTTCTATACGCGTGTCTCATCCTCCCGTATGTGAGATATCTTTGGCTAATGCATGCGATCTCTTTTTTACCCCCTCTTCTGGTTTGTTAACCAACATTTAGAGCGTCAAACGCTAACATAGGATCTGGGCTTCTATGGTACTTCTGAATTCTTTGCTTGGTGCATTTACTGCCACGTTTGTATTAAACCTCATCTCTCATGAAAAATTGACGTTGTGTCTACGTAGCAGCCAGGGGAAAGAAGAAAAGTATTGAACATTGAACGGAAGGATTGTCATCCCATCTTAAAATTCCCATATGTCAATGAACTATTTATTTTCAATTTCAGAGGCATGTTGTCTGCAGCTCATATTCTAGCGATGGACGCAAAAAACCTGTTGGATGTGATCGACTCCATTCGTGTCCGATACCCTTACGTAGATAACCAAATTTGCCGAAGGCAGAGTGAGGTAATTGTTAATTCGCGTCAGTCTGCCTCGGATACTCGAATTCGTTCCAGCCAATCTGGCGAGCAATTGTTGAGAAGAAGTCAGTCGAGCGAAAGACAAGGAACATTTAGACAAAGTCAAAGCGGAGATCCTTTACACAGAATGGGTCAGTCCGTCGACAGAGCATTGCAGGTACGTGCATTATTCATATCTCGACCCTTCGGGTTTCTTGATCTACCAGAGGATTCATTATGACGCATCGTGGTCGGTATACCACCCGGGCATGTTTATCCATATTCATATGAGCGAACGCGTCATTTCTTTCTGCTTTACAGGGTAGCCAGTCCGACATTAACGTCATCTCTAATGTGGACAAAAGGCATCACATGGTGACAAACAGTTTGGAGCGTAATTCCACGACGAGGAGGCAAATGGCAACTAATAGCTTAGAAAGGAAACGACCGACATTGTCGTGCAGCGTAGGTTCAGCGGGTAACGCGACGAATCTTCCACCAATCGGTCCGATTTCTTGTAGTGCGGCCCAACCGGTCGGCCCCATTGTTCACCCGAGTCACTCCACCGTGTCCGACGAAGACGAGTCACTCATTTTTCCGACGAGCAAGCTCTACAATGAGATGTCCTCGAACGACAGCTAGCGTTAAAGTTTCGGATAATCAAGCCTAGAGCTCTCCAGTCAAAGAAAGTATTCAACTTCCTGGAGATACCTTAAGGTATCACGGCAGACCCTTTAACTTTGAACTTTTCAAACCAATGGCATATGCTTTAACGCTTTAGTATCCTTAGCATCGAGCCTTATTCGTAGATGTACGAGCGAGACAGACACTATCAGGAATTTCCGTCATAGATTAACGCAGTACATATCCTACGTATAGTAAAGGACGTCGCGCGTAACGCTTTAAATTTTATGTAAATACGCGAAAGGCGCTCACGTCTGCACAACTCTCGTTTAACATTGATTCTTGAGGTTTCGTTATTACGGGATAAAATAATGCTACATTCAATCAGGCGAACACGATGTGCATTCTCTATGTGACAATTATGTTAGACGATAACGTAATTGTTGTGTCTCCGTAACTACGTTCTCCTGGTAAAAATTTCTAACAAACGGACCACGCAGGATCCATACGGCTTGTATATATATATCTAGGTAAAGTGCGTACACATACTGCCGAACACTGCATGTTTGCATTCGTATTTACACTTTGATAAAGTGGTTTATACTGTCTGACGTTCAATAGGCTCTACTGTAGGTGAACGTGAGTAAAATAGGTGCTCCGTAGTTGTAAGACCAAGCAGGTAATGATACAACGGTACGATTTAAAGGAAACATGAAACGTTAAGTTTTGCACGCATAACATTTCATTAGATAATTTCATATAATTCCAGTAGATTTTGGTAGTAGGCAGAGGAAGAGAGAAAGAAATACCGAGAGAGGTTCCCCTTTATCTTAAACCGTTGTACCCCAAAAAGCTATTTCTTACGTCATGCTAATATGGATCCAGGCGAGTCATTCATATCATGTATGTGGGTTCCTGCATATTTTATGTGCTACATGGATAAGTCATTGAGAGATCCATATAGGACATCACATAGTCCGATTTTTAACTGCACGTTAATTTTTACCAGGATTGTGTTTACCAGAAATGGACGATGCCACCTGATTATAATAGAGAATTAAATTATACTCGCAACATGAATTCATGTTCCAAGCGTATCAATGTTGATGAAATTCAAATAGATTATCAAAACTGGAAGAAAATTGATAATTAAAACTGCTATAAGTATGAAGAAGATTAAATAACAAATCTATCCGCTACGTTTACAATGGTGGATGACTATTCGCACGTGAGCTGATGCGGTGAAGTAATACCCTGCACTTTTTGACATCGTTTCTTAAAGGAGAGTGAAGGATTGAAATGCTCTTGTAAATGATTCTTCCAATTTCGTATATCTGATATAAGAGGCCGACATATATCTGATCGCGTTCCGTTGTGCGTTACCATATATATAGTTCGCATACGTTAATGTAAAGGTAGGGACTTTACACGACAGTCGCTATCCTACTTTCAGCGGACACCCATGGATTTATGGTATATGGACCCTATCCGCTATTTTAAGGTGAAGTGAAACACGTCGAGGAACTCTATCGACGTCGGTAAAAAAGATCTTTTTAAATACCTACGCTGCCGACGTTCGTTTTTATATCGACAGCTGGGTCGAATTATATTGGACATTGTACTAAATGGCATCTCCACGTGTTGTTTTCGTTCAATAATGATAAAGAAATCGAGGTAAAACTCCAGAAATCCTCTGGATTCATGGTTTCTGAGGCCCTAATTGACCGCAGAGGGACCTCTGCGCCATCTGTGATTTCTATGTCAACTAAATTCTCACTCGGAGACCTCGTATTACCATTGCTTTTGCATAGCAGCCCATAGATCGAAATGTGAGAGCTCGACGCTATTCTGTCTCTAGTCTGGGCTAAGGTAAAGAGTTTTTTTAAAAGATCCAAATTTTGAAAGGGTCAGGACAATTCCTAAATCTTGTATTAAAGTTTCAGACGGTTCGATCCAATACCTTCAAAAAGAGTATCTTATTCGAATCAACTGATTTGAGGGGAGTTTGACTTCACCTTAACCATAATGGCAGTACAACAGAAAGAGATAGAATAGAGAGACTATCCTTTCGCTCTCTCTTTACGTAAAACTCAGTTGCGAAGCGCAGAAGGGTCTCCTATCGAATAGTGAGAAAGATAAAGCGAGAAAGATTAGTCCCTTTATTCGCCCACTCTCTCTGTTATCGTATAAACAATAACGTCAGGCCAATATGGTGGTCCACATATCCTAAGTCCACGCGGACACCGCGGTGTAATGATGTATTAAATAATTAAGTTTTGTCTAAATGAACCTTGAACCACGTTTTGTAAGTATATTGTAACATTGATTGCAAACCTCGCGATGAAATTACGAGAAATGGCACTGTACTTCAGAAAGTATTTTTTCAAGACAAGTTTGGTCTGCATCTTAATTCCGATTGGTTGTTACCACCACATCGGTAAGATAACTATATTGCTACAAGTTGAACTTTTGTACACATTTGCAAACGAGCCACTTTGTTTCAACGTACTTATAGATAAGGACAGTATTCATTAGACATAGCGATAAAAAGATCGTCACTGTTTCTAAGCATATATTATACTAAATTACAGCTACAGCGGTAACCCCTCCAAAGTTTTAGGGTAATTCAGTTATCATTTGTTACACATGTGACAGTCGCCAATGCGCAGGGTGACGTAGGAGGCATTTTATAACGAATACACGAGTAAGTATTAACTTGCTATTCAAGATTGTGCACTCAAAGCATAAACGACTTCAACCAAAAATGCTCGAGTAGACTGTCCAAGCCAACAACCGAGAGCGAAAGGAAGCTTTAACAAGTATTTAGAATTTTTATAAAGGATTAATCTATACAAAATCATTCTCCTTTGCGTCACCCTGTAAGGTAGTCAGATAGTTCTATATATATAAATATATAAATATATTTATAAATAAATTATATATAAATATTAAGGAAGGCCCGCAGGCGCCACCGTAGCATTTAAATCACTTAATGTCTTATTTCCTTTTAGTAGGATTTACATTTTTGCAGTGCTGTTTTTCGGCAAAGAAGACTCGTACACGTTACTGATAATATAGGCAACTCCGTACAATCGCATGATGTATGTTGTATAAAGTAAAGAATTGACGATTGTTTGTATTAAGGCGAATCATTTCATTCTCGAGATTGTCGTTTTTGCAGCAATTACAATGTAGGACACTTCGAAACGAAAGAAAGAACCGATACCGCTATTTAGACGGGTAATTCATACGAAGCATTTATACACATGGTTATAAGTATACCCTGTTGAAGCATTAAGGGCTTGTTATACACAAATCCGAAATACACGTCTTCTGTCTGCTTCCAGGCTAGGCCTGAAAAAACAAACGCCTAGGTGTGAATTCCAGGTCCAATAAACTGCACTTACACCGCGTTTTTAGAAAGGTTTGACTGCTAACGGAATGTTACGCGTAGAATAATTAGCGATGGGTAGTAGTCTAGAAGTGTAACTCGGAACAAGACTGCGTTTTCCTCTCGTTCGGCTGCCGCATCCCCGACACCGTTATCCTGGAACCAACGGATTTATAGCTTTATATATGTCCCTCGGTATACATGTATTACGTAACCTTCATATGGTATTTTTATGGTATTTTCGAAACTTTCTTCAAGTCAGAACACTTATGAAAGATGCGACAGTGTGTTGGTCAAGTATGAAACTTTATTCCATACACTGTGAAATACTATCAGCAGTTCATGCACGAGGCCGTGTTTTCTCAGTTCCTAGGAATTAATCGTAATGGGCTGTGTAATGCGTTAACTATTGTCATCACTTGTAGTACTCCAGCTCTGCAAATATAATGAATTTATTTCCGAATCGATTAGGTACATCGACGAATCATTTTAAAGATTATAATAACGCAGACAGATCGATGTACCATTATACTATACAAGCATCAGTAGGTGAAGCTATTTGCCGTATTTGGCACTGTAATATCTAACTCCATTCACTGTGGAAGATCTAGTAAATTTTGTTAATATGGCTTTCACGTCCATTTTGTACGTAGCCACGTTCCTAAAAAAGGAAAGAAGATAATGTCATATACGTGAACTAATGTGTGAGACGTATCCCGTTAACGCCTAGTCCTTACGATAAATATGGTGATATTTCTTCTATTGTCCACTTTTCCTTTACTTTGAACAGTTCTTTTAATCTGTCCTTTATATTATTTGGTAACTTGTATTCTGGAAATGCGATCACGTCTTTTTTCATTTTCCCTTTATTGGGTACAATTAAGGCTATTCCATTTAAATATTCCTTCTTCACGGACATTTCTGAAATCGGTGAAATAAGAATTAATGAAAAAATATACAATACTGTACTGCAAATTGGATTAATTTGTTTTTAACAAAGTAATTTATTAAGGGAATATATATATGAATATATTGTTGACGTGATATTAGAAAAATATTAATAATGGTTTTAAGTTTGTTTCATTTTAGTTTATTCCAAATCCGCTGATTGTTGCACTGTGCAATTGCATGCGAATTACACAATTACCCATCATGTTATGTATTATTTCCCTGAAGATAACTGATAAGAGATCTTTTTAAGGTGACTTACTTTCTGGCACCCCTATTCGCCATGCTTCCATAAACTGTACATAATCGTTAACTGGTGATGCACTAAGTAACAATTGCGCTAGGAATTTACAGGTCTTTTCTTCATTTAACCTGTAAAAACGCATCAAAGTTTCATTCACTTATGCAAGCCTATCAATAATGTGTTCTAGTATGATACTACCATTTAGTATGGAAATTAAAAAAAAAAGAATACTGCTTTTAAATTATCGGCATTCTCTCGAGTTCTTGGTTTCTAGAGAAACAAGGCTGTTTGCACAGCTTATCAACTTAACAACTTAAATCTATCACTACACTTGCTCCTTTGTATTTTTTAATATCAGTTTGTTTTATAGTTTATGCGAGTTTATCTAATTTTTTATACCTGTACAAGGAAGTACCATCCTTTTTCGTTTTGATACTTGGTTCTGTATATTTCTTGAAAATGACATCAAAAACAGTCTTGGGAATAAGTTCTTTTAAGGATTCATAAGTATCTTCTCTATCTACTTCGTCAAACTCCCATGAATTTTCTCCAACATAATCTAATATAAAGGATAAAGCTCTCGCTTCATACTCGAATGATATAAGACGCATATAACCTGTCAAATTAATTAATGACATAAATATGCATTCAGAATTACTACTTGTAAAAAAATCAAGAAAAATGATTCCACGTACCATTCATAGGTACGATGAAATATTCATTTAAAGCCTGTTTCAATTCTTCTTCGCTAGCTTGCATTTCATTTTGTAACCTATCCCAATTGTAAAGTGTTTCAGGCTCGATATTTTTTTCATATTCCATTCCTTTAAATGACGATGGCTCCAAAAGATCACGTAATCGACTCAATTTTGGTTTACACTCCCGTACCTAGAAGAAATTACGAAATATACAGACCTGGCTTGATTTGTCAAACATGTATCCCTTTTTTGCATCTATTGTGCAAAAACAATATTTGCACCAATGAAAAAAAAAAAGTGCAATACCTCAAAATACGTATGAAAGATTCCCTGAACATCACATCTTTCCACAACTTGATGATTAGTATTAACAAGGCTTGTCTGTTCTGCAAATTTCATATTCGAAACCACTAGCAAAGAATTAGACGTTTCTGCTGCTTTTAAGTCATACGTGCGATTCTTTGTACAGAGAACAGCGGGGTCGTGTTTATTCCCTCGAAACGATAAGCTAGGAATAAAATGAATGTAAAGAATGAATGGGAGCATACAAAACATACAGATCTTTCTGAATCAGAAAACCGATTCATATCTTAGTTACTCATTTACCAGTCGTTAATTACAACTACGCAAAGATATGGCAAAGTAATAGACTGGATTACATAGTATTATACGACAACAAACTGCTTCTTCCTTGATTATTCGCCAAAATGATCCAATTTCCATAATCGCATAGAAAGAGAAGCAATAGGTTTCTTGTACATCCTCTACGTATAAGTTACATGTTCTTTAAACTATTCTGAATCTCAACAGGAAAATGACAAGCTACGCTCATAGAATTGTTAAGCATGCTCATCTTGCATAATTCTGATTCATCGAGTCATATGATAAAACACGGATAAATTGAAAATTAAAAACAAGAACTTACGTGTCTCCTTCACTCAATACCTCGAGCAAGTGAGTATCCAATTCCAACAATTTCAAAGATGCATTCTCATGTGTATTGGAGTATAGAACCTGCGTTACTCCAGTAAAACTCAACGGGTCTAGTTTTGCCAGCTCTAGGACTTTATTCGCATCTTCTTTCGTTCTTAATAACCTTAAAATTTATTTTTCAGATCAAGTACACCATTTACTCACAAATACTATTCATTTGTATTTTTTTAAGTGTAATATTAATTAATTCAACGTGCACATTAGACTTGTGACCCTCAAATGTAAATTGCATAGTTTCTCTTTAATAAGATGTGTTATTACTCAAATTAATTATTTCGTCTCTAGTCTGCATTGATTATTAATTCATTTCGAACATAATGCAACGTTAAATGCTAAACATAGCATAACAACTGATAACAATCAGTTAAGATTTCAGAGTGAAATGAACTAATAACGTTGTTTTCATACAGAAATACGATTCACCCATTTGACACATTCGATACCACGTGCATTGCCAACAATAATATTGCTTGTTACAAAGTTCATTTCGGCCACATATTTGATAAAGATAATATATTCTGCATTACATGATATCACTCGACCATAATGAAATATAATTACATTACCGATTGACAGTTGTCATCGTGAAAACGTCAAATGAAAGTTCAAGTTAAGTGTCAGAAGCGACGGAGTTTTATTCTCGCGCTCTTTTAAGATGTTGCCATTAAATACAAGATTCAAAGAGTGGTGATGTTACCGTGAATGACCGAAATTGGAAAATGTCGACTTTCACCGGTGAATGTCATCAGATACCAAATACGTCGGTGAAAGATCGAATATTTCATTACATTGTTGTACATTCGGATCCTCTCCAGTGTGTGTCGACAATCACACACCGGTGAATGTCAACATTTACCGATGTAAGTCAGAAATAAGGGTATTTAGCAAATATTTCGGACATATACTAAGCGACTATGTGAATGATGACATTCACCAGTGAAAGTCGACATTCTCCAGATTTCGGTGTTTCACCGTAACAGTGATCAGAGATGAGTTGGGAGATTGCTCACGGGCAGGGTCGCGCGAACGCACCGTGTGCTGCCCTCTGATTTCGTACGTTAGCTTTCACCGTTTTTTGCCCCCAAGGGCGGCGCAACGAATTTCTGTTAGGGGCTCGCGCACTCGCGATGGCTGTGCCAACTACCAATTGCCGTTGGCGGCTCACGTATTCGTGATGGTAATACCATGCGGCCGTTGGCGGTGGTGGCTTACCATTATGGCAATCTCCTAACTCATCTCTGCCAAATCAGAGATGAGTTGAGAGATTC